TCCTCAAGGACGTCCGTGCCAAGAGCACACTCACCCCCGACGGACAGAGGACAGACAGACTCAGACTCAGCAACAAGGCTAGTGGCGTAGTCTAGACGACAGCGGGCAGCAAAGTCTATCAACTCAGCGACTAGAGCAGACGCAGCAGAGGAATAAAAGGTAGGGTCAGTGACAACAGTAGCGAGGAGACGGGTGACAGTGGGACTGGCAGCACGACGGGAGTCAGACTCCGGGTCAGGAAGAGTAGGCAGAGAGGAAGCAGGAGGAGACGGTAGCGGGACACGCTGAGGAGCAGTGGAGGGACGCAGAGTCATGTAGTGAGTGCCAGGGACAGGAGGAGGACGCTCACGTGGGACACGACGACCAGTGCGAGCAGTACGAATAGGCGACGCAGGACGAGACTCAGGCTCACGACGCTCTGTAAGACCTCCTGTGGGACCAGCGTAAGGAGAGGGAGCAGGGAGAGGCGAGGCAGGCGGGAACTGTGACTGCGACTGGACAGGCGGAGGACACTCTACGGAGGGAGGAGGACAAGGAGGAGGAGCCTGACCAAGAACCTGCTGAAGAAGTGGTACGAAGTACGGTCGCGGCCGCGCAGCGTCTCCAGAACCAGCAGAGACACCAGCGGCAGGGTCCTCAGTACCAGCAGCAGCTCCAACTCCCGGGTCCTCAGCTCCAGCAGTAGCTCCAACGCCCGGGTCCTCAGCACCAGCAGCAGCGCCACCGCTCGGCTCCGCAGCACCAGCAGCAGCTCCACCGTCCGGGTCCTCAGCTCCAGCAGTAGCTCCAACGCCCGGGTCCTCAGCACCAGCAGCAGCCCCAACGCCCGGGTCCTCAGCACCAGCAGCAGCGCCACCGCTCGGGTCCTCAGCACCAGCAGCAGCGCCACCGCTCGGGTCCTCAGCACCAGCAGCAGCTCCACCACTCGGGTCCTCAGCACCAGCAGCAGCGCCACCGCTCGGGTCCTCAGCACCAGCAGCAGCTCCAACGCCCGGGTCCTCAGCACCAGCAGCAGTGCCACCCCCAGGGTCCGCAGCACCCGGAGCACCACTCCGAAGACTGCAGCGTCGCGTGTACCACTCTCGGATCTGCTGAATGGGGGGGAGCTCCTGGGTAGGAGGGGAAGTACCGGGACGAGCTCCAGCAGCACCTCTCCGGAGGCGGCAGTACTCGAGGTACCTCTCCTGCAGCTGCTGGGAGGAGAGGGCTCCTCCAGGTGTAGCACGCTCAGGCTCAGTACCCCCAGACTCCGCACCCCCAGGCTCAGCACCTCCAGGCTCCACACCTCCAGGGTCCGCACCTCCAGGCTCAACACCCCCAGGCTCCGCACCTCCAGGCTCAACACCCCCAGGCTCAGCACCCCCAGACTCAGCACCCCCAGGCTCAGCACCCCTAGACGCAGGACGAGAGTCAACAGCTACCTCGACAGGCTCACCCGGGTCTACCTGGGACACACCTGAGGGAGCGGCACCCTGAGGGGGGAGGGGGTCTGGTACCTCTGCACCTGGAGCGAGGAAGAGAGGCGGGGGGGGGGAGCGGGGCAGTGCGGTAGGGGAAGAGGCGGTAGTAGGGGACGGACTCGTCAAAAGTGACGTCCTGAGAGGCCAGGACACGCCGCGAGGTGGGGTGGTAGAACTGCCAACCAGGGGCGTCCGGGACAAAGCCAAGGAAGACGCAGGGGACAGCGCGACGGGAGAGCTTGTCCGCGGACGTGTCGCGGACAAAAGCTCGGGATCCCCAGACCCGAAAACGCGACGCATCGCCAGCCTCTCCCGTCCAACGCAGTGTCGGAGAAGTCTCGGGCAAGGAGACACGGGGCCAGAGGTTGAGCTGATGCGCAGCGTATCGGACTGCAAACGGCCACAGAAAGTGGGGGGCAGCCGCATGAACCAAGGAGGTACGAGCGACCTCCATGACCAAGCCAATGCGGCGCTCAGCAACCCCATTCTGCTGTGGAGAGGCCGGAAGCGTGAACGACTGCTCAATGCCCTCCTGCTGACAGAAGGCCTCCAAGAGGCCAGAGGAAAACTCTCCACCTCTGTCAGAGTGCAGACGCAGGACAGGGAAGTCGGAGCGGAAACGCTCACTAAGCTGGAGACGAGATCTGCGGATCCAAGGGATCAAGACATCAGGGACGTCACCCTTGGTGCGCAAGGGGAAGACCGTGGTGTAGCGCGAGAAGTCGTCAACAACAATCAGGAAGTACCTCTCCTGACCTTGACCACGGACGCGGGCTGGGCCCCACACGTCCATGTGGAGTGTCTGCAAAGGAGCAGTCGTCGGGGGAAAGGAGGAGGAGTGAGGAGCGGCGCGCTGCCGCCCCTCGACACAGGGAAGACAGGGAGGAGCAGGTGAGTCGGGAAGGGGAGGGAGCACCCTGGGAAGACCAGCAACAAGGTCCCGTTTGTGCATGGCCCGAAGGCGCTGCACAGACGGGTGACCAAGGCGGTGGTGCCAAAGAACAGTCTCATGCGCCAGAGAGCGACACGAGCAGGGGGCGGACAGCTGACCTGACGCAGACGCAGACGTAGACGCAGACGCAGCTACCTGAGGGGACTCAGTGGTCAGTGTGTACAGGTCCGACCCCGGCTCTCGAGTGAAAGTAGCCAGGTGGCGACCCGTCCGAGCACACGTGCAGTGTGTCACGCGCTCGTAGGCAGGGGTGAACTGGTGAACACCCGAGTCCTGGAGCGCACAACCCGCCACCAAGTTCGTAGAGAACGAGGGGAGGTAGAGACCTGACAGCGTGCCGGACGGGACCGCAGGACAAGGAAGGACAGTGGAGGAGGTCGCAATGACCGGACCCCCAGAGGGGTCAGCAAGGGAGACAGCAACTGGCCGAGCGAGTGGCTCAAGGACAGTGCGGTCACGAAAGAAAGAGCGAGAAGCACCTGAGTCCAGGGTGAAGGTGTGCAGTGCTGCAGTCGACTCAGTACCAGGGGACACGGACGCACTAGCACCTAGGGCAGCAGCCTCACCATCACCTGGGGTAGCAGACACGCGAGCACCTGGAGCAGCAGACGCACTAGCACCTAGAGCAGTAGGCTCACCAGCACCTGGAGTAGCAGACACGCGAGTACCGGGAGTGGTAGCCTCACCTGCACCGAGGGCAACAGACGTACTGGCACCGAGAGCGGCTGCCTCACTCACAGAGCGACTACCACTACGGCCACCCCGACTGCTCAAACCGGCGTACCACTCACGAGCCTGCTGGAGCAGAAGAGGGCACGGCTGCTGCACCTGTCCACTACCTGAGGCTCCCGAACGACGGACGCCAGAGCGACTACCACTACGGCCACCCCGACTGCTCAAACCGGCGTACCACTCACGAGCCTGCTGGACCAGAAGAGGGCACGGCTGCTGCACCTGTCCACTACCAGGGGCTCCCGAACGACGCACGCCAGAGCGACTACCACGCCGGCCACCCCGACTGCCCAAACCGGCGTACCACTCACGAGCCTGCTGGAGCAGAAGAGGGCACGTCTGCTGCACCGGTCTACTACCAGAGGCTCCCGAACGACGCACTCCAGAGCGACTACCACTACGGCCACCCCGACTGCCCAAGCCGGCGTACCACTCACGAGCCTGCTGGAGCTGCATCTGGCCACGTCAGGAGCAGCAGCAGTAGCGGCAGCAACAGCAGGAGCAGTAAAGGCAGTAGCAGCAGCAGTAACGGTAGCAGTGCTAGCACGGCAAAGCTCACCAGTGGTTGGTGCGGCGGGCGCAAGACAGTGGCGACAGCGTGGCCGCTGCAACAGCGGGGCGGGGCCAGGTCGTAGCAGGGAGCTCCGCGGCAGCTGCTGCAGGGTCGGCGGCGGCCGCTGCTGTAGGCTCGGCGGCGGCAGCTGCTGCAGGTCGAGCGGCGGCTGCTGCTGCAGGGTCGGCGGCGGCCGCTGCTGTAGGCTCGGCGGCGGCTGCTGCTGCAGGGTCGGCGGCGGCAGCTGCTGCAGGTCGAGCGGCGGCTGCTGCTGCAGGCTCGGCGGCGGCAGCTGCTGCAGGTCGGCGGCGGCTGCTGCTGCAGGCTCGGCGGCGGCAGCTGCTGCAGGTCGGCGGCGGCTGCTGCTGCAGGTTCGGTAGCGGCAGCTGCTGCAGACGAAGTCGAAGCCGCGAAGGGGCGGCTGAGGGATTGCGACGGGCGGCTAAGGGGCCGCGATGCGTGGGTAAGGAGCCGCGACGGCGGCTGAAAGGGCCGCCACGAGCGGGTAGGGAGGTGACGACGCCACGGGAAAGGCGACGCGGCGGGCGGCGAGAGCCTGCAGCGGCGGGCAGCTCGCGGGCAGTGCGCGGAGCCGCACAAGGCTGCGACGGGTCGCGTGACAAACCCTAAGCCGCGCGCGGGCGGCTAGCTGGTCGCGCGCACGAAGAATCGGCCGCGCGCGGGCGGCTAGCGAGGCGCGCGCGCGAAAAATCGGCCGCGCACGGGCGGCTAGCGAGTCGCGCGCGTTAAAAACGAGCCGCGCGCGGGTGGCTAGCGGGCTGCGTGCGCGCGGTAGGTAGAGGCGCACGAGGGCGCGCGGTAGGTAGAGGCGCACGAGGGCGCTAAGGCGCACGAGGGCGTGCGGTAGGTAGAGGCGCACAAGGGCGCTAAGGCGCACGAGGGCGCTCGGTAGTGAGAGGCGCACGAGGGCGCACGATAGGTAGGTAGGTAGGTAGGTAGGTAGCGGTGGGCCCTAGGAGCGGTCCTAGCAAAGGACCTGCTCTGATACCATGTCAGAATGAACAGGCAGGAATGGGGAACTAGAAAGGATGGTGAGTACAAATATGAAACCCTAATGTTGTGACCCCCCTATAGGCTAACCCACTACAGCCTACACAAACACAACATATATAATGTTTGACAATGTACTCCTCCAAACCCCTCTTCGCATCGCCCACCACTGTATCGACGTGTTCGGCTAAGACGGAGACCGCCTTGACGCGTGCATATGCCATATTTCCCTCCGGATTGTCGAAGTCCAACAACCACGCCGATGCCTATTCCGCGAAGACTTCATCAACTTCTATGCTTCGTCGAAGCTGCCGGTGATGTTGCCCGTGATGGTCATCGACATGGCCGACGTCGCGTTCCGCAGCCGTTCCGCCGCAGTCTGGTCGGAGTCGGCGACCTGGTCGACCTTGTCGACGAGTCCACGTACCCCAACAAAAAGCCTGTCCAGCCGAGCCTTCTCCTCATCGAGCAACGTCGCCAGCCGAGCGTTCTCCGCCCTCAACAACCAGTTCTCCCGTCGCAGCTCCTCGACGTCGTCCAGTTCAGGACCCTGCCGACCAGATGCTTCCCCCGTCTCCTGCACGCCCGTGATGTTCGCCCCTTCGCCGACGTCGACCGGCACCTTCCCACTTCCCTCGCATGCCGCCTCCTCCTGGCCCTTTTCCGTCGTTGCCTCCACGCCGACCTCATCCTTTTCCTTCCCCCCATCTGCCGACCTCGTAGCATTACCCGCATCGCCATCCTCCGCTTCCTCGTTCCTTTCATCCGCCGACCCCACCGCCTCTTCCGCCGCTCCCACCTCAACCGTATCGTCTACGTACTCCACCTCGTACTCCACCTCTTCCTCCACCCCCTCCTCATCCTTCCCGTCCTCCTCCTCCTCCTCACCCTTCCCTTCCTCCTCCTCCTCATCCTTCCCGTCCTTCTCCTCCTCCTCCTCCTCGTCCTCCTCGTCCTTCCGCTTCACCGCCTCGTCCTCCTCCTCCGACTCCGACTCGGACCCCGACCCCGACTCCGACGACCCCGACTCCTCTTCCTTCCGTTCTGCACCTGCCGCAGCGTCGCCTCCTCCTCCACCGTTTCCTCCTTCCGCAGACACCCTCGCAGTCCCCTGATGCTGGGCGACAACTGCTGCTTGGGGCGCCGTCTGTCTTTCTGCGCCGTCGTCATCAATCGCACTGTCGGCGGGGTCGACGGCTTGTGAAGTCGGCGCTGCAGAGCGTTTTTCGGCGATGCGCTTGCAGATGTACTCCACCATGTTGTCTCGCAAAGCCCTCAACCCCTTTGTCTTGATGTTCTTGATGCTCACCCCACTGCGGCCCTTCTCGCCCGTCAGCATGTCAATCTGCTTCGCCACCCACCCGAACGACGTCGCGGCAAGCATGCCGGTGCCGACATGCCCGTCCGACACTGTGCCCGGCACTTTCTGCATACAACACCGGCAAGTGCGGAACATTATGAGCGGAGCATACAGAAACGTGCACCCCCCTTAATGCTTAAACGTGCAACTCACATCGCGGATAGGGTGGTCGCAGTCGGCAAGCCTGTCCTCGACCACTGCTTGTGATGGCGGCGCCCCGTCCCACTTCCTACCAAGACGCCCCAGCTCGGCCAGGACAGCCGTGCGGAATAACCTGGAGCATCGTGGTAAAAGGAGGCGGTCAGCATGCGATACCCTGTGTCGGCGACTAACAAGCGGGACATCGACGACTATTCACAACTTACTTTAGCACGCGGACGGCCTCGTTGCGGTGGACCAGTTTACCGGTCTGCGGGTCGATGTGCCGGATTGAGGTCCTGCACACCTGTCCCTCAGCCTTCAGCAGATCTCCTGGGTAGAGGATGGCTATGACGCTGCAGTGTGACCCTGGAAGCGGACCGCCTCTGCACATGCAATACACGACGGCGTCGATCACAACATTAGGCGATGATGCGACCGACCAAACAAAACGATAACTGGACAACGGGGAAACAACTCACGTCGTTCTTAACGGGATAGCGGCGATGTCGGCGTCGAAAACCGTAGCAAAGCAAGAATGGTCGGCGGCTTTCATGGCCGATCGAAGCGGGCCGACTCCGATTACCCACAACCGCTGGTCGTTCAGCCCAATGCGAAACCAAGCGTACCTGATCGCACGATTGGGCATGAGGGATGATAGAAGGGCGGGTGAGCAAACGCTACCAGGTCGACGTCTACCGAACGTCAAACGCCGACTGTACGTGGTCGACACTTGGCCGACCGACGTCCCTGGACGGGGTCTATGCCTAATACCGCGTACGCCGACGTCAATCTGATGACAACCGGCGACAATGCGACCCCCAACGGCGCCGACATCTACCCTATGCGCCAATCTAGTGTTAGTCGGCGCCGACATCTACCCTATTCGCCCACCGCGGCTACTCGAGTCCCACCTGATGCCGAATCCCAAGCATATCTCGTTGAACTCTTTCTTGTGGTCGCGAAGGACGGCGAAGTCGTTCCACTCGAAAGTGAAGCTGAGACCGCAACCCATTCGGTGATGAAGAGGAAACTCAGCCGAAGTCGGCGCCGACCTATCGGCGTCGGGGCTCGGCTCCATATCGACTAAGGGAAGACGCGGACGGCTAAGGAGCGATAGCACGGATTTGAGGGGGGGGCGCAGAGCTAGCAACGTCCAAAGATCGAAACGAGATGCGGAAAATGAGGAGCGAAGCCACCTTCCACAAAGAAAAGGAGGTGGTGCCCCACCGCAGGCCCGTTCAGCATCGCCCAAGGGTGTGGGGCCTGGCTCGGCAGGGCTCGGAGGGCGCACGCGCAAGTGGCACAGGTGGTCCGTCTCCGCCTTGGCGGAGCATCGACTTCGCGTCCATTGGCCCAGGTCGGCGAGGGGACGCACATTCGCATGCGCGCGGAGCGTCGCTTCGGCCGACGCGTGTCGAATTCGTAGCGGCTCGCGATGATATTGCACATGCGATGCGAGTGGTTTTAATTTCGCATCGGTCGAATTTTCGCATGCGCACGATGCGACCCCACGGGCGAACACGTGGCGGCACCGCGGCGGGTCGCGAAACTGTCGAGTGTCCCGAGGGGGGCCCCGAATTTTCGCCACGCCCTCGCCTGCCCGTCCGGGCAGGCCGCGATAGGTTAATTGGACCTCGCAGGTGGCACGGGTGGGCTGCCTTCGCGCGAGGGTTACTCTCCCTCGCGCCAGGTGTCGCCAGTTCGCCGACCCCACCCGGTAACGTGGGTCGCTGTTCACTTTCGGAGCGGGGCTGCGGGGCGGTGGTCGTGCGCTCGGCCCAGCCCTGGGCCAGGCTGGCGGGCCCGCACGCGCGTCAGTCGCCCGCCTCGTCAGGCGCGGCTCCGACGACCCCCCTCGACGATACTGGCAAATCCGTTTTGACGACCGAATTGCTCTGAGATTTTCGGAACTGACGAAACCGCTTCAAAAGGGGGTAATCATCGAGAGTTATTGTTTAGGACATGATGCAGAACGCCTTGGCACGCCCCGATGCATCGCGATGTACCGGGTTTTGAAGCTTCCACACACACGGGAACTCGGTGCATCGCCTCGTCCCGGCACGCCCCGGGGCGTACCTTGGGGCGCCCCAGCATGCTCGAAAGGCTTGCGAATTCGAAGGTCAAAGGTTCGAATTCAGCACTTGGACGGATACCTGAAATTCACCATGGGCGGAGACGTGTGCCACAGGGCGAGCTGGGGCACCCCAGCACGCCCCGGGTTTCCTCGGTGCACCGGTTCTGGACCCGTTCTGTACCACGTCCTTATTACACGTTTGTTTTGTGTAATTGTAACAACTCGATTTTCGCTCGCGCGTCAAATTTCTATGGAAATTGTTATCGTATTTTTCCATCCTGTACTGACGCTACCACGAACTGTCAGGGCCAGAAAAAAAAAAAAAAAATCCCCCTAGGGAACATGGATTCATTTTCGGGATGGATCAATATAGGGACCTACCATGTGTTTAGGGTTGATGCCTCCCGAGTCACAGCCGTTTTCGAACGGGTTATATATATATATATATATATATTTCTGTGCGTTTCCTATTCAATAGGGTGACATGTATCATCAGAAATATAATATGCTGTTTTGGGCAGCAAATAAACACGGCGAATTATACTTCCATGAGAATACGACGCGCACCTTGGGTATACAGCGGTCAAAATCTGTAATAAATGAAGTTGAGCACGACAATTCAGTGCTTAGAGAATTTTTATTTTACTTACGGTTCGGCTTGTTAGCCCAACCGCTTGGGCAGCTCCGGGTAAAAATCATACGGTCGATATTCACCGACCGCACTTTGGTCATCCTTCTGGTACTCTTTGGCCCCAATTTGATCTTTTCCCCAACAAGTCTGTGCCTGCCTCCTAGCAGGAAAGCCTGTGTACAGGCTTTCCAACGAGCCATTGAACACGTGATTCGCCCAAGTATCGGCTAAGATATGGCTTCCTATGTGCTAGGTAGTGCTCTAAGATTGAATGATAGAAAGTCTCTGGATTTTTGTGTCAAGTTGCTCTGTGTACAAGGAAATCTGATTTTTAGTATGATCAATCCAATACAAAGCGATCACGTTTATAGCTACTCAACTTCTACGAATCGCGGAAGTAACATCTTTTCGCTACACGAAGTGTCGCGAATGTTCCTTCGGTCTCGAATGTTCCGGGTGCTGCCATGCGGCACCGAATCGATCGGTCTTCCGAAGTCAAACCTTCAACTTCATGAAACCTGCAGTGAAGTGAATCGGTTTCAACACATTTGGTGGTTGGGGGCAAAGTTGCCTCATGCAACCTCCAACACACACCTCATGGTCGTGAATTTCTTATTCATTGGAAAGATCAGACTATGAAGACTTATGGGAACCCGAGAGCCACCTTGACCATGCCGCGGTTTGGCGCCGTGGACGAGCCACTTGGAGTGGGAAGTGATGTGACAGTGCAGCAGCCGAATGCTGCCAACTGCAATGCAGGTAAGCGGAAGTCAAGCGCCACTACACCAACAGTCCGGATTGGTCAAGCGCCTCAACCTGCAGATGGGCGACAAAGTTCCGACAAGCAGCCCAAGTCAAACCCGCATGCGAAAATTACGACACGCAGAACACCAAAGTTCCGACCGCTCGCCGACTTCGCCAACAACACCGACGAAATTACAGCCCCGTAACCAAGCTCGCCGTCCAATCCCGTACCGCAATAATTCTCTGAATTTCACGGCAGGTTCATTTCAAAGGGTTGGGTTACCATTGAGAAATTCAGAGAGTCGTGATGTGGGAGTGCGACTCGATGTGTGAATGTGCTCTACAAAATTGTACTGTCAAAGTTGTGAAGTCATATTGCAAATTCCAGAGACATTCCAGAGAGCATCTTGTACCCGTTTCTCAAGCCTACTGAGGCTATTATCTCCCTGCCAGCAACGTTTCGAAGATTGTAAACGCGGGAAAAAAGGAACTAAAAGCAGCTCGGAGCAAGTAAAATCCGCCATACGCCACCAGCGGAATCGCGAGCAACACGTAGCCAAGCCAGTCCGGAGCCACTGCTGCAGCGTCATCAGCGGCATCAACGACCGCCTCCTCCGCAAGAACGGGAAGCTCCGCAGGGAAAAAACGTCGAGAGCGACACGGAGACCGCTACTGCCGTCGATCGCACGGCGGGGTCTGCCGTTACGCGTGCGACATTCTCTGGCTCGACAACAGGCGAGGGTTTCGTAAATTTCACTGCCGACGCGACGACGAGTGGTCGTTGTCTCAATGTCTTCTAAATCGTATTCCGTCCGCATGTGACCCTCGTCGCTAGAAGCGGAGAGAACGTGGCCAGGGAAGGAACGGCAGACACCATATCCCTGATCAACCGCATTCAGATGGACGGGGTGGTACGAAAGACATAGCTGTAGAAGGCGAGTTTCGGCTAAATTCCTCATGAGATCATGTAGGATTAGAATTTAGTACAGCGAAATATGTTGGATTGTTGAGATAAGCGCTTTTCCTAGCTGTGCGAATGGATGGAACCGTCGATATGAGGGCGTATTTTAATGAAGCTTGATGACGTAAATGTGTTTGAAAAGTGATCGCGAAACGCGAATCTTGACACGTGTGATACTTATACTACATTCAGGGCTTTTGGCGACGAGAAAACGACCTCTCGCTAGCAGCCCAGTTTCAGTTACCAGTGCAGGAAAGTTCATGTTGAAGATGGGGTCATCAAGACCGTACACGGGAAATTTCGTGATGAGCAGGGTTTTGATTGGGAGAGCGCGAACCGCATGCATAGCTGCTTTGTTCCTACGTGGCAATGTTACACGTGGAAAGGCAGATTTAGCGCTCAGCAGCATCACCTGCCACAGGGCCAACATCATACACATGCAAATTAGTATGGGAACCATCTGCAATTGTATGCAAAACTGTCGATACCCCAGTCCTGCTGCGCGAATTTGTCTGGTACCGCCACTCAAAACACTGTGTAATGTTAGAATCTAGTAGCAGGAATGAATGAACTGACAAGATCAGGGTTTGGTTCAAACATGAAACCCTAATGGGATTGTACCCCATGTTGGCTACCCCACTACAGCCTACACATATATAACATGCATATAATTTGACACACCCCCATAGGCAAAGTGGGGGAGAGAACGGGGTCACAAGACCAGTCAAGAGAAGCAAAGCAAGCTCAGGGTGGATCACAACGTCACCACACACATTGAGCACAAGCAAAGGGCCACAAGGCTCTCAAAGTAACTAGGCAAGAATGAATGAACTAACAGAAGTTTGGGTACAAATATCAAACCCTAGTTGGGGTTGTACCCCATATTGGCTACCCCACTACAGCCTACAAGCATAATACAGTTTAACACACCCCCATAGGCAAAGTGGGGGAGAACAAAGGGTCACAAGACCAGTCCAGCAAAGCAAAGCAAAGCCCAGGGTGGATCACAACGTCACCACACTCCGAGCACAAGTAAAGGCCACAAGGCCAGTTCACATGCAGTGCTAGATATAGTACAGGACAAGCAACACAGTGATCAAAACCTAGCAAGCAAGTAACAAGATATATATAAAGTACAGTACAAAGAATGTCAAGCAGTGAGCAAGTGAGGAAACGTGGACACAAGGCCTAAAGAAGTACAGTGCCGCTGATGATCACTAGGCGGGAGCGCCTTGG